ACAAGGACTTCATTGAGTGCTCTTCATGTCGCTGGGTCAGACCCCCAGGGAGGACCCCAATCCCCAGCTCTCTGGATGCCCATCACAGTGTGAAGTGACTTAATGTCACCTCCTTCATCCTTGGGGAAGGCATGGCTGAGGCTGGCAAACTTGCGTCCCTTGGGCCCATTGGACTTACTTGGTGAATTGTCTCAGTTTGGCCTCAATGCTGCGGTGCCGCATGCACATGCGGGTCAGTGCGGAGCCAATGTCCCTTGTGGCCCCTGGAGGGAGACAAAATCCTTGTTATGGCAAAGTGCCACACCCTGAGAGCCTCTTCACTGAACTGGAATGCCAGCCCCTTCACCTGGGCACTAGCGCCTCCCCATCTGTGCAAAGCAAAAACTACATACTAAGGGCAAAGTGCTATGACCACAATCCATTCCTGTTGGGATCCACTAATCCAATACAGGATTTACCTGAGGCTGCACCAAGCGAGGCACATTCAAAGCCAAGTAAGTCAGAATCAGCTGGGAATCAAGCTGGGGAGCATTAAACACCCAGAGCTGGATTTCTGTGAGTATTTGACATGGAAGAGATGACTATTTCTGTGCCCAAGTGAGAACATGCTGGGTGCACCCCCTGCTTTGCTGCATCTACGTATAGTATCATGTGTAAAGTAATAACAATGCAGCAGGGAGATGTAGGCCTTGTGGGGTTTGTAAGGACTGAAGCTATGGATCAAGCCTGTTGTCAGGGCTGGGAACCCCCGATTCCAAAATCCAGCCTGTTTTCCTGGTATCCTCAAATGGAAATGATCCTGAGATCTGCAGCAGAGGATACTATGACATTGAGGGGCCAGGGAGCAGAGGGCTCAGCAGGCCAGAGGGGCATCCCATCTGCTGAGCATTCACTTCTCTCTGTTATAAGCTGGTCAATATAAACCTTCTCATTTAGTCAAGCACGGCTGATCGTACCTGAAGCCAAATCACTGACTGTGAGGGAACTAAGAATCCCCCAGAGCTCTCAAAACCCCTGGAGAGTTGAGAGCTAAATGCATCCCTACGACAACCCCACCAAGGTCACTGGTGTCACAGAGACAGATGGTTTTACCCCAAGGATGGATTTAACCCAGACAGTCTACTTTACTAGCCAAGTTCGAACTGCTATGCTTCAGGCTGCTTTTTCCCAGCTTTTCTTCACCAGGGAGTACTGCTCACCACTGGCCACCAGAGGACAGCCTGAAGCCAAGAATAGTTAGAGGGGGACTGATCCTTGGTCAACATCCCCAATTCCAGGCAGAGAGAGATGGTGAGAACAGGAGTGAGGGGGGAGAAGACCAATATGCCACACAGGCTGATTGGCAGAGACTGATGGGGAAAGGAAGACTGCCTTAGGAATCCCCCCTGGGCCATGCAGGTTACAAAATGCCTGGACGCAGGAGTAGGGGTGGATGTCGTATACTTAGACTTCAGGAAGGCCTTCGATACGGTATCCCACCCCATACTGGTGAACAAGTTAAGAGGCTGTGACTTGGATGACTACACAGTCTGGTGGGTGGCGAATTGGCTGGAGGGTCGCACCCAGAGAGTCGTGGTGGATGGGTCGGCTTCGACCTGGAAGGGTGTGGGCAGTGGGGTCTCGCAGGGCTCGGTCCTTGGACCGATACCCTTTAATGTCTTCATCAGTGACTTGGACGAGGGAGTGAAATGTACTCTGTCCAAGTTTGCAAATGACACAAAACTGTGGGGAGAAGTGGACACGCCGGAGGGCAGGGAACAGCTATAAGCAGACCTGGACAGGTTGGACAAATGGGCAGAAAACAACAGAATGCAATTCAACAAGGAGAAGTGCAAAGTGCTGCACCTAGGGAGGAAAAATGTCCAGCATATCTTCTGCCTAGGAAATGACCTGCTTGGTGGCACGGAAGCGGAAAGGGATCTTGGAGTCCTAGTGGACTCCAAGATGAACATGAGTCGGCAGTGTGACGAAGCCATCAGAAAAGCCAATGGCACTTTATC